TACTTGCATTTAAAAAATTTTCTATAGTACCAGAATATGTATTAGAACCTTTCATTTTATCTACAATATTTATAATCTCCAGTGTACATGAAGAACAGGTAACAAGTAAATACTTTTTATTGCATGATATATACATTTATTTTCTTTCTATTGAAAATTTCAAAAACTTTATGCTTCAATTATTTATGAATTGATATCAAAGTTGTTAAATGGATTTTCTCTCTCTCTTTCTCTCTCTCTCTCTCTCTCTCTCTCTCTCTCTCTCTCTCTCTCTCTCTCTCTCTCTCTCTCTCTCTCTCTCATATTAAATTTTCAAAAATGTATAAAAATAGGTTTTTGAAATGCTTCATCAGACGATTTTAAGAAAAATGCAAGATGATGAAAAATGTAAGAATAGTGCTTGGTTAAAATCTTTAATGAATAATAATTGTGATATTATGAATATTATAGATCAAGTTATAGCAAATAGGTATGCATATATATACAAGAATATGTATATATATATATATATATATATATATATATATTCCTATGAATACATAAAATAAAATTTTTTTATTAATTAATTCTATTAATTAATTCTAGTGATAAAGACCGTCATGTTGTATTAAAAGGAATTATGGAGTTAGGATTTGTGCTTATGGATACAGAACATACAATTGGAAAAGTTAATAAATATCCAACACATAGCATTGGTATACAGATACTTCAAAGATTAATGAAGAAAAGACATGAGATATGTGGATCAGTACTTCAATTATTAACTGATAAAATAGTGGCAGGTGGTTTGTTAATATCGCAGTACACAGGTATGATATTTTATTTCAAAAAAAGAAAGTAATATAAAAATATTTTTCAATATTGCAGAATAATAATAAATGATTTGTTGATTTTTATTTTCAGATTGTTTGGCATATATGTGCTCTAAATTAGCAATGAATGTGCTCGATTTTCAGACTTATATAATTACTCTTCTTGATCAATTGCTATGTGTACCTGGTACTGCTGCTGTACAAATTCTTTACGCAGTTTTGCCATTGATACATGTTTCATCTAATGTAAAAGACAATCTTATGTTATCATTGAGAAAGGCTCTCTATAGAAAAGGAATATGTACACGTAAAATGGCAGTAACTGGTTTTCTTGAACTATTAAAAATATTAAAAATGAATTCTAGAAGAAATCTTTCAAATGATTATTCTAGAAATTCCTCCATGTCTATCACATTATCTAATTCGACATCCATATTAACTCAGGTAAATACAAAGAATAGACTATTATATGTTTCTAATTAAAATCCATCAATGTATTATTATTATAATGTTATAACGTTATTTTGTATTAAATCTTATTATATTTTTTAGGTAACTTTAGAAAATCACAATAATATAGGAAATAATTATGGATGCAATAAAAGATTATGTGTTGACATATTAAATATATTAAAAAAGTGTTTTACTCAAGAATATGAAGTCAGATCACATTTATATGAAGGTAGAATATATATAATAATATAAAGTAATCATAAATATAAAGAGTATGTATATATGTGCATAATATGTAATAATATATTTTCTTTTCAGGATTATATGAAGTTGTAATTAAGAATCCTGAACTATCGGAATACATAGTGGAAATATTACTTGGTCAATTGAATCTTTATTTTGAAATAGATGAAAATGTATTACCTCCATTAAAGATTGATCTAAGTGCTGATATAAACGATATACAAATTGTTCCAAAAGAGCCTATAGCCACATTGATTTCTGTATTACAAGCAATTTATGTAAAAACAGCTTTAGAAGATTGGGAAATTTTAAATAAAGTTGCTATCATTCTAGAGTCACTGTGTATAAGGATGGCACGAACTGAAACGGAACATTTAAATTTGGTATGAATATCTCTTTGGTTAAAAGCAGTTTTTACAAATAATTATTCATTTAAAGGAATAAGATTTATAATGATAAGAATTGTGCATAATAATATTAATTCTTAATCTTATAGGATGATACAATGAATTTACTTGATAATACACCAAAATCACAACAAAAATTACATAATTTAAAAGAAATGATAGGCATATATGAATCTTTAATATCATTCAGAGTTAATTCCTGGGTTAATGAAAGTAAAAATATAGCAAAAAGTATATATGGTCTTTTTAAAGGATATAATAGGTTAATGGACATTATTAAGGTAATTTTGAAAATAATATCAATATTTTCTGGCTGCATTTTTATACGATGAATATTAAATTATAAACGTCATACTCTTCATATGATAATATATATTATATGCTAAATTTATATTTATTGTAGAATATAAGAAAAAAGAAGGGAAATAAAAATAAAAAAAATAAAGATGCAAATAACACTACATTTAAGAAGAAAAGCTATTCAGATATTATAAAATTGCCAAATGGAAATATAAGTCTAAACATAGTGTGTAAAATTTTAGAACTACATTATTTGTTAGTAATATTTAATATATATTTTATTAAAAAAAGAAATGAAAGTAAATCAAGCATTAACATTGTTATTTTGTAGAGACAAGTGGTCAGACAATGATGAAGCTAAGATTTTAAGATCACATAGAGACTTTTATCATTATATTTTACAAAGTTGCATTTCTACTTTTCAAACAATAATATTATTAAGTATTCCAGACTTTGAAAAACACAAAAAACAATATATAAAAGTATATCATAAAATTGGAGAGTAAGAACATTGAATATGTGCAATACTTTCTGTGTTACTTTTATCTCGCATGTACTAATTTAAGAATTATTTTCTTATAGATTACTCTATAAAAATGTAATTTTGGAATTTAGAAATGCATTTAATGATGATCAACAGGGAACGTTATTAGCTTTACAGTGTTTTAAGGAATATTGTTGTCTAATATGTTCAAAGTTTTCTTCTCAATTGCCACAATTTATTTATAGTATGTGTATGTATTTTTCTACAATAGAAAAAGTAAAAACAAAATGTCTTTTTGCTTAACTTATTTTTACATTTTTATTTTTACATTTCTTAAATATTTTGTTTGTCATTAGGTAATGAAAAGCCAATGGAAAGTTTTAATATGCAATTGGAAACATTTATTTTGTCTTTCAAAGCTCCATTGAAAATTTCTTTTGATCAAGATTCTGATGAGCCTGAATTTTATAAACAAATGTCATTAATACTTTTAGAAATTATACAACAATTTGTGCATCAATTGAACTTTCATGAAAAAAATACTAAAAAAGTTTGTAGAAACACATTACTATTAACATTTTCACATATGATATTTTATTAATAACATTATATTAAATATTTATGTTATGTTTCATTCGATTGTGTTAACTAACTACTAAATTATAGATTTTTGAATGGATCAGTAAATGTTCACAAATGGAAGGCATCGGTGTTTCTGCAGCTATTTTGATCCTTCAAATCCTTTTATGGATAGAAGACTGCGATAAAGACAATGGAGAAATATTAAATGATATTTGTCTGGAAACATCAGAGAAACTGGGTATGATACATAAGGTTCGTTAACTTTACACATTTACATTAATTATAATCTATAGAATTGAAATATTAAATAAAATTTTTTTGTTTTTTCTCTTACACGTATCTTTACTACAGATTGAAACATCAAAAAATTAAAAATATAACATTATAAACGAAAATACAGTTGTGCAAGCTTATAGCGTACTTAATCATTACATAAAAAATAAATTAGATAATGTGTCTTGGTTTTTAGAACGTTTGAAAGCTGAACTTGCAATAATGAATGTTGTTAATATTAATAATGAACAACGTACGTATTGATTTATTTAATAAATGTTGATTGATTTTTAGTAATGAATATTTCTCTAATATCGTAATAGATGCAGAAGATTTAGTAGAAAAAGAACGCAGTTTATGCAGACAATTGTCTTATATCATTCAAATACTTTATACATTGGCCAACATATCTATCGATCCAGGTCAATCTACCAACTCGATATTTAAGAACTTACAACAATTGTATAACATATTGAGTAAACTTACTAAATATTTTTATAATAAATCGAGCAGTGGAAATGCAGCATTTCATGATGTTAGGTGAGGGTTTGGAGTTTGTTACAAATTATAAATAATCCAATTTTGTTATAAATTATAAATTTCTTTTTGATTATTATTTTTTAGGTTTATTCAGGTGATACAATTAGCTGGAAAACCATTAAAATCTACTTTTTATAATTTAGTAACCCACATAGAGGTACGTAATATTCAAAAATTAATAATATATGTATATATAAAAGTTTTAATATTTCATATTTTTATATATATTTTTTATTAATTCCATTGGTATAGGAAAGTCAAAGTAAAGATAAAAAACGATTAAAGACAGATACAAATATACAAAAAAATCATATTTTAAAAGAAACTAAATTAATACCACGTGTTGTTTATGAGATTGAACAGTTTAGTAAAGAAGTACTGCTCCTTGCAAAAAAAACAGGGGTAAAATGCAAATTTATTTTTATAGAATCTTATAAACTGAATTATTTATAATGGTTTTTGTTTTATTAGGTACCTTTAGAAAATTATATCAAACATAGCGTAACACGTGATTTCCGAATATTAGATTCACGATTAACAGAATCTCTTGAACAAATAGATGTCAGTATGGTAAGGAAATAATTATATCATGTATTATCTGTTAATTCATCAATAATTAACAATTACTTTTTTATTTTCTATTTAATAGTTAAGCACGCAACGCACTAATGTCACAAATATAAATAACAGTCTTACACATGATTTGGATAATAATTCATCATCCGTAACAGAACATTCTTTGACTGAGTCATAAATAGTTTTTAGAGGCTTTTTAATTTGATAAATTTTATTAAATGAACAAGTATTAGAGAATCATATGAGATATCTTAATTTTACTTTTGTATGTATGATTTAATAAAACTTAACTCCATATTTTTATAATTGATATGAAAATGTATATTATTATTTTTTTAATTATATAAAATATAATTGAGAGCAAGAATGTACTTAAACTGTGTCTATAAACTTTTTTGCCGCATTATTAATTCATACATTGTATGTTCTCAATGAAATAAATTATTCATGTTGTGAAAACTTTAAACAAAAGAAAGAGGATATAAGAGAATTATATGTTCTTAATTATAAAGAACTGAATTAAAAAAAATATTAGCAATTGGAAAATTAAAAAGTTGAGATATTCATGCCACGAAATCAAGTGGTCTATTGAAACCTCCTTTTCTATTCATGTACTGTCTGTACTTTCTTTTTAGAATAACATGTACTGCGCCTACATCATTTCCTTCTACCTTCTTACCTTTGGTGGTATCAAAACCACAAAAACCCATCATTCTCATCATCTCTTGTTCTTCCGGTGTTTTTCCTTGAAGATCAGCCTCTATAAGAAAAATCACGCTTACCATAATTACAGATATTTACATAAAATATAGAAAAAATATGTTTTTATTATTACTATAAAATTATTTTTATCCTCATTATACCTGTGATAACAGGACGTTCTGCCGTAGATAATTTGGCTCTAGGCTTAGGTCTGTCTCGTTCTCTAGATCTAGATCTACTGTATGATCGTTTATGTCTGTCTCGATCACGATCTCGTTCTCTATCTCTATCTCTTGATTTTACTCTGTCACGTTCTGCAGATCTACGATGGAATCGACATTATATTAACTTTTATCGAATACAAAAATGATAAAAAATCAATTTATTATTCTTACCATTTTTGTACATACCTCCGACGTCTTTCGCGAGATCGTCGTCTTCGACGATCTCTGTCGCGGTCACGTTCCCTGGAACGATCACGTCGTCTTCCAGGCGACGGGGTATGACTTCGACCCATTATATTCGTATTTTAAATATAAAATTGTTAAAACTGCTTGCACGACATTATAAAAATCTTTAAAGAAAAATATATAGACGTTTTAAAATTTCTAAAGTGTTTTGACAGTATGCTAAAAGGTTATGTACATACTATGAAATATTTATAAAATAGTATAATATTGTATCATGTGCAAAACAAACATATTTCTATGATTGCGTAGATAAAAATATTTATTTATATTTTCACTTAGTCAAATAATTAACGAATGCATTGAACATTTGAAGGCTCTATTTGCTGCTACTGCTTTGGACCTTTATTTATGTTGTTGTTTCACGTAGTAAACTACCTGTTAGCATCATGTAAGTACGATATATACAATGGCGGTAAAATTGAATAATTATTAATTTGAAGTGATAATAATAAAAATATTAGTACAAGTATGTATTTTCATTTGAAATGAAAATGTAATTTTTATTTCAACATGACATATCAACGATAACATTCGGTTGATCAAAACAATGTTCATTAACATATTGGTTTTTTAAATCTTGTTATTTTACATGTTAATGATGACATAATAATGATCTATCAATATTTCAAGTTCACACTAAATAAACATGTTTATAATTTGATATTACATATATTGATATTACATATATTGATATTATTTATGATATCAGAAGTGACGTAAGCGATTTAATGATCTAAATATGCTGTTGTAAGACAATACTTTAAAATATAAAATATATGTCTATGCATGTAAAAATATATATAATTTAAATTACATCTTTGAGAATAAATTCTTCGTGAAAAAAATTCGAATATATATTTATACGTTAATAATTCCCACGTTTATAAACATAAAATATCTTTTTGAAGCTGTTTATCTCTTTGTTTTTTTTTTATATATATATCTGTAAGTATATAGAAAATTCATTAACATTGATTCAAAAGCTTTTAAAAATTCACACAGAGGCACTTATAATTCAGATTATGTTAAATTCGTTGAAAAGTATCTATAATTTAATTCTGATGACAAGTACCTACATAAACATCTGTGTTCACATCTGATAAGAGAACAAATAACGTGCATTTCTATATAACTTACAAATAAAATAATACATAAACTTACATAAAAATGTATGTTATAAAAACGGTCAAATAAAATAATTTGACGATTAAAGATAAAATATTATTTCTTGAAATTTTATTTTCTTATTATATAAGAATGTGTTTCCCAATCAAGACACTTAACCGGTTTGTTTTAAAGGGGGGATAAGGATACGATACTATATATTCGTTAGACTATTAAGTTCAGTGTTAACGTAACTTCCGAAGCATTGGCAATCGACGAACAATATAAGAGGAGAATAAACTGTTTAACAAGTGACATTGAAACATTTGAATATTTGCCTCTATCAACAATGAATTTTGGATCAACTCTTCGTCAAGTACGTGAGTAGGAATTTTTGTATCGTCAGTCACTATTTTTTAGAGAAATTTAATTCATTTTAGATTATTTTAAAATGGTTAGTTCCATCTGTTAAAATTATGCCATAACTTTCGAATAGTATTATTAATATGTGTAGTAATTAGAATAGTCTAATAATGTTATTAATGTATATGTAATATTTAAAAACATAAAATAAGAGAACAAAGAAAAAAAGTTTTAACTTAATAGCTTATTATATAAGTCAATAAAGTATTAATGTTAAATATTGAATATTATCCTCATAATAAAATTTCGTTAGAAATCATATAAAATATTCGCATGAAAAATTTCTTTGTATTATTCTATAAAATAGTAATCATGACGAAGCATATTTTCCGTAACAAGAATGTTTCTATTTACTACAATCGATTTATGCAATGGAAATTAAGATTAAAATCGGATATTCGATTTTTTTAAATCGTTTTGTGGTAATGGTAAATCGCACAATGGCATTCAACGATTTTTCTCATTCTCTTCTTCCTTTATTATTTCTCCTCCGATTGTATAATTATAATCCTTTGATTTCTTTTTCACAAATCATTTATTTATTTCAAATGTGTGTGATAAATTATGTTATTTCTTTATAGTAACATTTCCATTTATTCTATTTCCACTTATTATTTCCAATTAAAAAGAATTATCGAGTATTTTAAACAAAGAAAAACAATATGATCTCTAATAGATATCTCGCAAATTAATAAAAAGAAGATGTATACATGCGTACGTTTCACAATGCAACTACAGTCCTGGACCTCTGACCCAATTTACAGATGATGAACTTATGATGAAAGAGACTGGTGAGTATTAAATTCAGATTCTTTTTAATACTGTGCTATAATATCACTTCTTTTAAATCCAGAATGTTGACGTATCAAAGAATCATAGGAATTGATATTGGAATTTTTGGATATTATCATCATTTTATTCTGATAATATCTTCTTTATATGCTTTCATTGTTACGAAAGAAGGATTTTTCTTCTATATATATATGTAAACAATAGTAATAAATACTATATCGTATGTTCAAAATAAAATGTTTCAGCATTTTTTTTTTATCAAGGCTTACGTCATTTTAAGGAAAAAATATTATGGCAAATATTTTTCTTTATTCAATTACTTTGAAACCTCCCATTAAATAAAAAATAAAAAATTATTAAAAAGCCACATTTTCTCATTTAGAAAATGGATAACTCTTATCTGAAAAATATTTTTAAAAAATTCTATTTTTTCGAGATAAACATTCGTAACGTTTTGTTTTAAACGCTTCGTACAATAAGTAATAAGATAATAGAACGATATTGTACTTTGAACCTTTTGGAATATTGTTAATTCTACATTTTATCTTGTAATTTTTCGTAGTTGCTAAATTGGCCAAAGAAAATATAGCTCCGCTTGTACGAAAGATGGAAAAAGAGGGACGTATAGACGACAACGTCTTAAATAAACTTTTTGAAAATGGCGTAAGTTAATGTTTTTGATATTATGTAAATAATATTTGTATTATCTTTCCTTTAATAATTTTTCTCTTTTTTAAATTTTGTTGTTGTTTTATTACGATAAGAAAATGTAGCTTTATCTATTTACTATAACTAAAAATCAATATATAGTTTACTCCATATTATCCGTAGTTAATGGGAATAGAAATTCCAGAAGAATACGGTGGAACGGGAAGTAACTTTATGACAACGATTCTAGCCGTAGAAGAAATTGCAAAAGTTGATGGTTCTGTTGCTGCTCTCGTTGACATTCATAATACATTGGTCAATTCATTGATTATTAAAGTGGGAACAAAAGAACAAAAGCAGAAGTATCTGACCACGTTAGCTCAGAATTACGTAAGTGATATAATTTAAGTAATATACTAAATAAATATATAAATTGATTTCGAAGGAAATAAATACCTATAGAGCATAATTTTATATTATATAGCATAATTTTATATTATATAGCATAATTTTATATTATATAGCATAATTTTTATAAATATTTAGGCAGGAAGTTTTTGTCTTACGGAACCGGGTGCAGGATCTGATGCTTTTTCTTTGAAAACCGAAGCGAAGAAAGATGGAAATGATTATATTCTTAACGGTACAAAAATGTGGATCTCAAATTCGGACATCGCTAGAGTATTTTTAGTTTTTGCAAATGCTAATACTTCTGCAGTGAGTAGATTTAATAACTTCAAGTGCTAGTTGTATGATATAATTATTATATGTATATACACAAATATGGGAAAGTCGATCTTCTATTTATTATTACTACGATATAATTTCATTATCCCTGATTAATCTTAAGTATTAAATCTTAGTCTATAACTTTCATTCATCCGATCTATAAGTTGTATATTTACACAATATATACATAAATTGTGTACTAACTGTCACATTATTTTCTTCGACTAATATCTTACTTGATCGTAAATTATAGAGTTATCGAGGTATTACGATATTCTTCGTGGAAAGAGATACACCTGGACTGATTATATGTAAACCTGAAGATAAATTAGGAATCAAAGCATCAGGAACTTGTATGATACATTTCGAAAATGTTAGAGTAAGTAAAAAACAATACTTTAAACAAAAAAATATGATCAAAGGATATTATATTTTCAACAACAATAACTTATTAGGTTCCTGAAAATAATATATTAGGGAAATTTGGACATGGTTATAAATATGCAGCAGAATTTTTGAACGAAGGACGTATTGGTATTGGGGCTCAGATGATCGGTATAGCACAAGGGTGTTTAGATGCAACCATACCCTATACTTTAGAAAGGCAACAATTTGGCAAGGATATATTTTCATTTCAGGTAAGATCTTTAATTATCAAATAAAAGTAAGAATAGTATTACCATGAATTTGTTTAATTCAATTAGTTAATAATGTTCATTAATTTTTTAGTCTATGCAACATCAAATTGCCCAAGTTACAACTGAATTGGAGAGTGCCAGATTACTTGTTTATAATGCAGCCAGATTAGTAGATGCTAAAAAAAGTATTATAAAAGAAGCAGCGATGGCAAAACTAGTTGCTTCTGGTTTGTTTGTTTGTTTATTTAAATAAAATTAAAAATATATTATCTGTAGGACAAATTAAATAATTTATAAAAATTGTTATTTACAGAAACAGCTTTACGTGTAACAGCAAAATGCATAGACTTTATGGGAGGTGTTGGTTTTACTACAGACTTTCCTCAAGAAAAATATTTTAGAGATTCAAAGATAGGAACTATTTATGAAGGTACCAGTAATATGCAACTCTCAACGATTGCCAAATGTATTCGCAAGGAATATTCATAAATGACAAAATAAAATTGTTTTCATTTTTGTACTTAATTGTCAGATAAAATCATTCATTAGCTGTATATCGACTATATCCAAATGTACTTTTAATTTTGATATATTAATTAATATACTAGTTTTGGTACTATATTTTTTAATATACTATCTAAGCAAATTGTTGTACTTATATATATCTACACATTTTATGAAAACATATTCCTCTCTAGAAAGCAATGTTGAAAAATCTAAGTACATTCTCTACTATAATTTTCTAATCTCCAATTCTTGTTCAATGTATATTTTTCAACGCAAAGTATTTTTGTCGATCTACATAAAATAATAGAAAGCTTTGTACAAACGCTACATACATAGTTTGATTATGTTTTTTACCAATGTATGTCTTTATTTTGGATCGTGTGGTAATTTAAAACCGACAAGATCTGCTGTTTCCTTAATACTTCTTTCTCCTTTACCAGTATATTGCATTTTAATCTCTTTGTACTTTCTTTGCGATCTCAAGTAACAAAGGTACGTTTCAGCTAAGTTCTTCAATTCTTTTTGAGCTTTGCAAAGAACTTCTGAGGTTTCCTTATGGGAATATGCTTGTTCCAAAATATATTGCATTGTAATATTATCTTTCAGTTTATCATTGAAGGAAATATGACGTAATTCTTGTGCTAAAGCACGAATAATCTTGACATTGGAATTCATTGTACTTGAACTTCCTACACAGACAAAAAAAATGACAAAGCAAAATTAATTGTTTTATTATTTCTTACTTTTAAATACAAAAATACTACCAACTTTCTATTAGGAATTACACTGTATAATATCGATATATAACATATGATATCGTACAGTATCTGAAAATATGATTAATGAAAGTTACAAAATGTATAAGAAAAACAGATAAAATTTAACACGGTCTATTTATTTCATTTACAGTAATAAATTCAATATCTTTTTCTTGATAATGAGGATCTTCTTTGTCTATCCAAAAATTAGATGATACTTTGCTTAAGCTTTGGTTAGTAAAAATATGAATACTAGTAGTAGAAAATACTTCTGTGTATTCAAAATCATTTTGTAACTTAATTTCTGTCATGTATGGGTAAATACGTAACACATAGTTTGCAAATTTCATTAAATGCCATTTTAAACTTTTCTCTACTATATCTGAAAAGCTATTAGTAAATAGAATACAGTTACTCAAGTTTTCGTTCCAATTGGAATACAAGAAGTTATTTATCAACTGTCTTGGACAATGTGGCATATAAATAAATGTGACATTGTTGCTAATGCTACGTTTACCCTCTTCATTGATTTCTATGACGTTTAATTTTAATTCTTTTAGAATTTCAATCTCCTTAGTAAGAAATGCAGGATCATATAAAGATACTTGACAATTATAATATCTTTTTAATAACAATAATAAAGCTAATTGATACTTAGAAGAGTTATATTGAGAAAACTGCCCTAAACCATAACAGATTATCTCAAATATTTTATTGGCATTTAAAATCTTTAGAACTTTCGTGACATTATATAAGATATGTGTCTTAAATACACTATGCTTGAGCTTGGTTACTGCGTCAAATAATTTTCTGTAAAATTACATATAAAAAATCAACATAAAAATGAGGTTAATTAACTTTATTAAATGTTAATATGAACAAATTTTGCGGAAACTGTAACGCCTTACCGAACTACCATTTCTTTATCAATTTCAATTTCGTTGGATTCTGTAACCGATAATCGTTCTCTAAAAACTGGTTCGAATTTTTTACGTCTTCTACGTCGATTCACTAATATAAATTCGTCCTCAGACATATTACGATTTATGACGTTTACAAGATTATATTAATGATTTGATGAATTAAAGACGTACATTGAAATTTTTATTGTTAAAACGGTATTTACCTATTTAATGTTCATAGAAATAAAAAAACTTCATTTAACTGTTTAACCTATTTTTATGTCCGAAAATATGCCTTATACTGCCGCATACAATGGGATTAATATATGTATATATAACTTGTAGCGCCGCCTGACGATATACGAAACTATTATATTTGAATATGATACCCATATTGAAATCTATTATACTTACAACAGAAAAATAAAGATAAATTTAATATAAAAAATAATATTACTATCCTTACTAATTACCAATATTTATAATCTCAATTAAACTCTTAATTATCATGAAATAAAACGTATCATGAAATAAAGCATAGAAATTAAAAACGTTGGTATGACATATACGAAGAAATTATTTGAGAAAAAACATTTGACATAAAACCAAACAATAAATGTAACGTTAGCATACAATATATAACTAATGTCAATAGATTTAATTAATTTCTAAAAAGAATTAGAATATAAATGAGTTTAAATTGTTTAAACCTGTTCTTTACCACTTAATATTCACCGGTTTTTACGTACCTAAATTTTTTATTTGCTTCTAGCATATTTTATTAAAAGATTTTATTACAATTTTTTTATATTCTAAATCATATGAGATTCGATGTTATTAATCAATTTGGATGGTACAACTTATTGGAAGGAATAGTTACGCATACAGCTGTAATTTTATAACGTGTACCACGATAAAGAAATGGATCAGCCGCAATTTGAGACAAGCTTGCATCAGACAATTATGAATTCATATACCTGTTCTAAAGTATTACATAGATTGAAACTATATCAATTGCGCAATATACAAAGCATTAACGTTGTATTGACGACAAATGATTTACAATAGAAACACATTGAGAATATTTGTCATCAAAATTTATAATAATGGGAAACGAAAGCAGAAGATAGCTGTCACTTCAATGTAGATAGAATATATCAGTGCAGCTGTTTAAAAAAATAAGTAAACGCAAATAAAAGATGATCAAGAGATTTAGAAAGAGAACTTTAAATGAAATCCTTTTTTTTTTCTTTTTTTTTTTCTCTCTCAAAAAATATAACATCTGCAATAGCATCTTTGTAAAATTGACCGATACTGTGGTCGGTGGTATAACTGGTCTCTATGCTACATGATGCAATAACTCGATAATATGAATATACCCTTACTATCTTAAGATATATGATACCAAGTTTTCGGGTAAAAAATATATGAACTATGTTAGACAGGTTTGCAAGAGCTCCCGTATAAATAGACTGTCAGCTTTACAATATGCATTCAATTCCTCTCTTGTTCTTGAAGAGTAAGGAGCTGTACTTACCTATCGACATCATGTTTAGGGTAAGCCACTCTTAAATATATACATAACATTAGATCGATCGAAATAATATAAACAATAGAAATTATTGTCCATCCTTAAAAATAAATTTTACTTCTTATTTATTTCTAATTTAATAGTTATACATATGATAAAGTATAATCTTTAAAATAAGCTTCTATCAAATACTTAAATTTTAATCAATCGCAATAATATAAATAATAAAAATTATTGTTGTATCCTTAAGAATAAATTTTACTTCTTTCTTTCTGATTTAATCTTTTATATTTGTAACAGATCAAATCTTTAATTAATAAATACTTTAGCAATACGTTAGCTGATCAATTGATCATTATCAAATGATCCTTAAATAAAATAAGATTTTTAAACATAATGTTAATTTTTAAGTTCTTGGTAATCTGTGGATGCCTGATGGCCGTCGCCAGGGCTGGAGTTATCGGGGGCGGTTTGCTAGCAGCTACCGCACCTGCAGCACTCGCTGTCCAACCAGCTGCAGCTTTATCTCTACCGGTGTCCACTGCTGCGGTCGTACCAACAATTGCGACCTCCTCTTCCAATATTATTCGGGGTATCGGTAATTTAGCTGCTATCTCGGCGTACTCGAAGAGCGTCGATACGCCGTTCAGTAGCGTCAGGAAAGCGGACGTCCGCGTTAACAATCCTGGAATCGTGACGGCTGCTGTCGCGCCCGCGCCCGCGCTCGCAGTAACAAATACTGCTCTTGCAGGTATCTAACCGCAAGGCAGAAATACGGTGATGACGCTCTCTTTCCTTTTTTTTTTTTATTTTTTTTTATTTTGTTTGCTCGTAACTTTCTTCCTATTTACGTTTTTCGTTTTCGTTTAATATGTTTTAAAAGCACTCACGCATGCAAACAAAAATAATAAAACATTCCTCCGCGATTGGGCACTACGTACTACACTTTTTGACAATGGAACAGATTTTATATCTCGTGGAATTCTTGTAAATGACGTCGCATCCCGTGAATATAGATAGCACTTTTCTCCTATCATTCCTTTCTTTTCACACTAATTCTTGATCTATCTGTATCGTGTAATACATTACTATCAATAAAAGTTACGCATTTATCGATCTGCTTCCTAGGCGCTATAGACGGCTAGACGCTAGAATGAATGTAATCGTTATACTTCGAGACGCTTTTTAGCCGTTCGATCTTTGCTTGCAACAATTGATGTATTTTTCTTTCTTTTCTTTTTTTTTCTGCAAATACTTGCACTTCTTTAAAACGCACAAATTTAATTTCTCTCTTTTTTTTCTTGCTTCTTTCCATATAACATTAATTAATCCATGTTATTTTTTTTCCTTTTCATTTCTTCTCAACAATCACAACAATAAACAGCACCTCTTACTACTGCCGCTATTGCCGCACCCGGTCTATTAGCTCCTGGATTGACAACTGCTCTTGCTGGACCAGCCTTAGCTGCCGGTCTAGGCGCACCTCTTGGTCTCAACGGTTTGGGTCTTAATGGATTGGGAGCAGTCAAGGTTCTCTAAAGATATCGGCACAACAACCTTAAACTGGTCGACCTTCGATATCGATCGCATTAACAACTTAATACATATACGTACGTGTCACAGAATGTAACGCTCCAACGAGAAATAAATAAAAAAAAAGGTTGAGATGTCAAGCACTGAATTGATTAATTCATATCCATAGGACACATATATAATTGATTCCTTAGATCACTTTTATCATCCATAAAAATTAATTTCGTCTTTTATCCTTCATCAGTCCAACGTAAATTTTTTAATATTTTCATAATAAATGTTTAAAACATATTTCGTGCATTGAACTGCAAAAGCCTGCAATTTGAAATCATCTTAACATTATCAAATATTTCTAAATACAATAGTAATATATATGTATATGTATGTGTATATTTATTATCATATTATCTTTATTTATATTTAATAACTTTGTTGAGAATTTAAACGTGTTATCAATGCTTAAAAACATCAAATTTACAATATAACTTTTAAAATTAAATGAATAGTAACACTTACCTTTTTATTTTTTAATTTATATTCAAAGAAATATACTTTACAGATAAGCAGTTTTACAATTGCTTAATATTGAAAATAAGTTTTGTAATAACTTACAATATCAAGACTTCAAATATGTACAGGAAAATTCGTTTAAAGCACAAAGGGGAATTTATAAACAATATTATATATATATGATAATATCGATAATAATAATAATAATAATAATAATAATAATAATAATAATAATAATAATAATAATAATAATAATAATAATAAAAATATTTTTACCTTCCTTTATTGTTTTAACTTTTTAGTCAAATATGATCTACTTAATTTTTTATAAGGTCAATAAATAAAATTGTATAAGAGTAAATAAAATATAACTGCTTGCTTTTATTAACCCTTTCATTACTAAAGGTGATTTAATCAGCCGACAAAATTCTGTCTGAATTAAGAATTCTGAATGAACGTAACACATCTTTATATCTTTAAGGTAACCAACTTTCTTCTGACGTATATTCATTTTTATAATTTGTTTTATATTTATTTCACATAACTTGAATGAAAATTTGATAATTTGTACAATACGACAAAGTATTATACGTTACGTTCTACAGTAAGATGTGCACTTGCGATTCAATTGTCTCATATAATGCAGCATACTGGCGGCCAATTCCACCGTAAGAAAAGAGTTAAAATAGTAATGTATCCCATAATATATTTAATAAATTCTAAACATTGTATAAGAATTACATTTCGAATGGGAATAAAGAAGGCAATATTATTTGACATGATTTTTTAATAATGTTGATTAGACAAATATTCTGTGCAAGAAATAGAAAATGATATTATTAATATAAGTTAGAAAATTTCACACTTCAATGACAAATTTGGACATACTGTTAATCAAATACTGTGAACTATATTGTCTATAGGTCATAATAGCATTGTTTCCATAGCAATTCGTCTTTACAATAATATCAATCCACAAAGAGAGAAACTGCTATTTATAGAAACAATGATCGTTATATATCTTATATACATACCATAATCGATTAGTATATAAATTTGTAATCAAAGAAATATTATGGATAAAAACGAGTTTACATAGATGTAGGAGACCAAAAATTCATTTCTCTTAACTCTGATGGCTTTGCTTGCAAAATATTTGTCTGGGAAGATGATTTTCCCGAAGTTTTTTCATCCTTTCCAATATATGTAAGATTTTGTGAGGATATAGATTTTTTTCTCTTCAATATTTTAGGTGGAGCAATATCTATGCCACTGTCCTGTTCTTCTTCTATTTTTGAGGTTACAATTTCTCGTGATTGACCCAATATGCTAGCTAATATCCAGCTGCCTTGATATTTATCTCGGTCAGGAATAAAGGCTCCAGTAAAATAACGATTTGAGTGATTCTTTCTGCGTGATTTTGGTGAACTATCTGGACTGGTGATCGGTGAAGCTAATGGCGTAGCTGGTAAAGATTTACTACCCTTTCTTGGAATTAATTCTTGTTCGACTGTTGCCACAGAAGTATGTGGTTTATTAAACTTATTAGACATCATTTGATTAGCTACATGAACTATGGACTTGCCACAGAGAGCTGGTTCACCATGAAATCCATCATCAGTTCCTTGAGATTTAGCTGGTTTTATACTTCCCACTAATGTTGTATTTACTACATTTTTAAGATTTTTTATAAATTAAAAAAATATATATTAAAATAAAATAATAACAATAAAAAATTAGAAATTCAAATACTTACCTTTATTGATTGCAGTTGGAACAAATGGTTGGCAAGGTAATGGATGCTGACTAAAATCAATCTCTTTCGCTTCTTTGAATTTAGAATGTGTTTGTTGACTGGATGTAACTTGATTTGTAGAAGTTGTAATTGTATTATCATTGAAAACCTTTTTAACGGATCTAAAATCTTGAGTAGTACTAGTAGAATTCTGTGATTTTGGATACCGTATGCAGAAAAAACCTTCGTCGTGGGATGGTGGACTGAATGCACTTTCGTCAAAGTCGAATCTATAGTGTTGAGATAAAAAACATGTATGTTTATTTGAATATAACTATATAATTATCGGTTCACTTTAAAGATCTACTTTCAAAATTTAAATCATATTAAAATTCCATATTAAGAATAATTGAAAATGAAGAAATAAAAAGATAAATATTTACAAGAATTTAAACAATTCAATGATAAGCTAAATGATTCTAAATCTAATTCATCAGAGAGTTTTTACGAGTTACACGCTGCTACTGTACGTTACGCTGTGTCCCCGATATCTTGGCAGTCGTTTTATGTTAATCAATTAGTCACACAACGATATACTTTTATGTACGCACGTGCGTGTGCGCAAATGCCATGTGCGCACGAAAATGTATATACATATAGATCATTAGTATGTAAAAATAATCAACGTGCTTATAATTTACTATGAAAATAAAAATGAATAGAAAATTGCATTATAAGTTTGTATCACGTACTACTAATGTTACATTTCTTCTTCTTTTCCTTTTATGTTTTATTTTTCTATATTATTTACAATGTTAACTTATTTTTAGTATAACTATAAAATTCAATAAATATTAATCATGAAAAGGTATATATATTAGAGCATATGTTTAAACATATTCAAAATATCAATATAACTGTGGTATATCGACTGCATAATTTTTATAAAATCTATAATACTAGCAAAGAAAAAACTTGTAAAATAAATTAGAGAATTTTAATAGCAATTCTTAGAAGATATGATATATTACCTATTAGAGTTAAGTGTCTAAAAATATAAGATCATGTGACACATGCCTACTTTGTGAGCCAAGATTTGTATATACTACCAGATACATTTTTGACAATGCCAAGAGAAATAAAGTATATATAAAAAATTCTTCAAACAAATTAAATTCTATTTGTTATACTATTTTATATTAAAATATATAAAATGGAAATATTCTAATTTTTATAATCTATAATACATATATACATCTATCTATATACATACATATATATATATATATATATATATATATATATATATATATATACGCGCACACAATAAATTTTTATTTAAAATATAATAACGCATTCTTGATAAACAATAATTATTCTTTTTACTAACCTGTTGTCTATTTTTCCTTTCATCCATTGTGGAAGAGATATTCCTGCATTTAGAGATCGATCTTGCTGTCTTGATGAACCCATTTCTCTATAGCTTGTCCTTTTTTCTAACTACGATTAATCTTCAAATAATTTGACTGACTTCAATTCAAATTTTAAGCACTTCCATATGGTCCTTTTTTAAACAAAAATGACAATATTTAATTAGCATCTCTCAATATAAATATAATATTCTAATTTATAAAAATTATAGATTTTTTAGTGATAAATTACTTTCTAAAAATATAATTATATTAGAGGATTTCTTCGTCTTAAACTGAATAGAAATCATTTGAAAAAAGATTATTACATTTACGAACAAAATTAAAATAAAAAATAGGACATATAAGAAATTATATCGTTTTTTCATACAAAAGTATATAAATAAAAGTATTTAATAAAGGAAAAGAATAAAATAGTTCATCACAAAAAAAATCTTGCGCAGACATATAAGATTATATTATAATATTATATATATATATATATATATATATATATATATATATATATATATATATATACTTAACCCTTTGCGATCAAGGACTTTTTCAAGTGAACTTCTCACTGGATCGAATATCTTTTTGTATAAAGCGATATCATGTATTAAAGCGTTAAATATATAAAGTTAATTGAAAAATATTTTATTTAATAGAATTTTAGAGTTTATTAAAAAACAATAATAATTATTATTTTAGAATACACAAACATGTTTTAATTTTTGTATTTTTTCAGAGTGTGAAATTTCTCAAAGCAATTCCCAATATGTATGCCAGGTTTACAAGAGCAAGTATCGTAGTATAATCGAGTTTCTTTTTTTCCTCATTGAACTTTTCTATTTGAATATACTATACAATACTTCTTCTTTTCAGTACAAATGAAGTTTTCCATCTAACCATTGTAGGTCTACCCCTCTGTAAGCTCGTCCTCCAGGATTTTTTTATCATTTGAAAATCATCTACTAATTGATCAATGAGGAATTTCACAAAATCTAGATGTTTCATTATAATAACGGGTTTATATAGTGTACACCAAAGTAACAACAAAGTATTGCCAAATTGAAACAAAATATCTAATAACAGTATCGATAACGAAATTATTTTTCGTCGACATTCGACGAAATCGTGACGACATTCAGTCTAGTGAATAGAAATATGATATCACTTGTACAGCGGCATTCAACCGCAAAGGGTTAAAAAACTGACTTTGTTCAGAATTTAAATGTGCTTCAAATAAATTATGATGCAATATTAATAAGAAAATACGATTGTATGCTCTTATCTTTAATGTCTTTTGTTTCAAATCAGGTGTATATAACAGCACACATGACAGTAGTATTTTATTATATATCATATGCGCAACATGCCTTTGTCGTTATCTTTCCCCTTCTTTATCACATCCATAAATTTTTATTCTAATTTATTATGTGTGTGTATATATACATATATATATATATATATATATATACATATATATATATATATACATAGGAGTAAGGATAATAAGGCAGTTTTGTCATTTAATAAATAGAAAAATAAAATTAATAAAATAAATGACGTGATGTAAATTATAGAAATGGATATAAATCGTTCGATAAGTATAAATATTTCTTTTCGTCTGTTACGATGATGAAAAATAACGCGCCATTTTATAAGCATGTATAGACAGAACGTAAGTTTTCGTATAGCTTTATAAACTATATACAAAAATATATATGAAAATAAAGATTGTATAAATGTAAAATAACTATTGTTAATCAACGACTTACCGAATCCTTTCGACACATGATAAACTTTCGAACCATTATACTCATAACTGTAATAACCTGTAATGTTTCTAAAGGTCTAGTGATCAACCAAGTCACGAACTGTTAATAAACATGTTTGCGAATAATGTGGTTTGACAATTGCTAGATGACGCTAGCTAAAAGTGTAGAAGAAAACGTCGATAACACTTGGTGGTGATCTAAACTAAATCTATATTAGAGGTTTTTAGTGTTTAGTGACTTTTTTGTGACATTACATGTTTATTGGTATAAACAAAATAATAATGCTGTTACGCATTACTGATAATAAATTATAAAACATATTTTATATTTTATAAAAAATAATTTTGATAAATTCGGTATAATACAATCAATAAAATTTCAATGGATAACGTAGATATTTGCTTAATGTTTTTTTTTTATCTCTTGGCCGACTCGTGCGTGATTTTAAGGGAGCAAATGTAGAAATAAAAAATTAGTGTCATATTCAGTGACAGTTTTGGACTAAAAATGTATCTATACTATAATAAAAGTATCTATTTCAAGACTAAAATTACAGATTACAAAGATATTCGACTTAATTGCAACTAGTTTCTAATTTGGAATTGAACAATTTGTAAATAACTAACAAAAAGATTTTATTTACCAATTCTTTCATATAAATTTGATATACATTAAATAATGTACGATTTATAAGATATTGCACAAATCTTCAACTCATTTTTTGATTTTTTATAAAATAAAAGAATATTAAAGATTTATATAATATACATTTCATGTATTTATTACATTCTATTACACACATTGGTTGTTCGTCTTACAATTTGCAATTTTAATTATATTTGCAGTATATATTATAAGATGTTATATACAAACGTTTTCCATCTTCTGTGCTTTAATAATGTTTTTTATAGAATACTGTCCTTTATATTTTTTATGAACTGTCTATATTTTCTTGGAGTTGTATAAACACTTGTTTTATTGTACAGTAATTGTAAGACATATATTATTATAATAATTGTTCATATATTTGTATATATTTTGTCACAAATTTAGGAAAGAATTTAGTAATGAAAATATTGATATAAGTGTAATTATATACAAAATACCTATTTAAAAATAGATAATATATTCTAATACTTTTATATACCATCCATATCAATATAATTCTCCTTACTTCCGTTATCAAAATTACTTGACAATAAGATTGATTTAAAGTCTTATACTAATATGACTTCATCATTACTAACTGATATTTTATCAATGTCATTATCAATATTTGACAAAAAGTTAGTATGTATTTTCTTTTCATTTATAGGTATGTTTATATCTAAACATTATAAATATTAACCTAAAATATATTTTAAAAACCCAAAGGAGAATTATATATAATTTGATTTAAACCGAATGAAATATTTTTTTCAAATTATGTTTACTATTAGCGATGTAGTCATTTTTATTTTGCTATAGAGATTAAATAAGCATGTCTGATTTGGTATAGATGACCATGCAAATAGTCATGCTTATGTAATGCCTTCCGCAAAAATGTCAAATGTATTATTTCAGATATGTAAATTACATACAAAATATCCTGTGTTTAATAAATTTAAAATTTATAGCATAAAAAGTTCCATTTAAGTTTAATATTTTATTGTACCAAATACAATATATTTTTTTAGTATTCACGAAGTTTCCATGGCAGCCGTGGTATCTTCTGTATATTTACCTTTATCCTTACCCAAAGCAGCAAGTCTACCTTTACCTCGTCTGTCTATAATCTTTTTCCTATCCTTATCCATTTTTAACTTGACAATTACGGTCTAAAAAAACATATATTACATTTAGATTAAAAATACAAAGATAAATATAAGAAAAATAATTTATTTAAATAAATATCAATCAGTGCCAATAGATCTGCAGCAACCAGACCAAGAAAACAAATGAGCACATATTCAAAAGAACTTTGAAGATGTATTCAGAAGTGTAACTATTTGTCTGATTCTCAAAGAATGGTTTAGTTCATCATCTGTCATTGCGTGCTTTCATAAATCTATCTATATATATATACATAATATCATGAAAATTTGTCAAATTACCTTTGAAGGATCAATACCAACATATACATTTGCTGTATTAGCTTTCTCCCTTTGAATTCTTTCTATATATATAACGAACTTTTTCCTGTATACTTGCACGACTTTACCTACTTGTTGGCCTTTATAGTGACCACGAACAACCTGAAAATTAAATAAATTATAACACTAATAATATAAAGCAAATAGAATAAAATAATTTAAATAGTTTTTCTTTATCTATATATTTTTGTATTTAATCTTTTATGTTACAACTGTTCTATAGATCAATTAATCAATAATTTCAAGTTGCTTTCATTTTATATTGTGCAAATAAGAAAAATATTAAAATAAAAATAGGATTTATTCTAAAAGTGATATTAATAAAGCAAAACGAATGCAATGATAAAATTAATGTATTGCTTCAATGTTTCAAAAATTTATATGATTAAAAATGATGAAAAAGGAACTTATGAATTATATTATTTTCAATTATAATATTTTAATAATTTAGTCGGAGAATAAAAGGTTTAGTATTAGGATCGTATTCTATACCAATATAATTTTTAAGCTCTGTTATACATTCCTATGTATTTCTAAAACAAGCATTATCATATTCTTAAATCGAATAAATTATTCATATATGTATAAAAAATATGAAAAAATTAAGAAACATATGCAATATAACTTTTAATAAATACATTAAACAAATTTAAATATAAAGAATAGAGTCATCAATAGAATATTATAAAACTAACCTTCAATTATCGAAGCATTGAAAGTATATTATATTAAATTAACTAACCTGTACTTCATCATCCTTACGTATTGGCATGGACCGTACATTGTATTTTTGTCTTAACTCTTTTGAAAGAGGTGCAGACATTAACCTTCTACGTATATGAGAAGGAGCGGTGAAGTGACGTTTACGATTTTTCCTTCGTGAGGAAGATACTAATTTGTTGAATTTCATTGTATTTATCCTCCTACATTGAAAATATAACTATATATATTTTTTTTTTTTAAGGAAGAATTGAAGGATAATAATAAGGAAACGACAATAAAAAACACTGTATGTTTGTCTAATTTATGTATAAATATGTATTCACATAAATAAATAAATAATTGAATTTGTAGCTGATTTTGACTTTATTGATTCTTATTTATGTGAATAAATAATATTTTACCGTTTATTTAAGTTTGATCAAATTGGATTTGTACAGGTTAAACTCACCTACGGAATTACACACCGCGACATTAACCTAAAGAACATCACGGCATTGGAACATGAAAAACAACGATACTAAAAGATGTAATATTTAGAAAGGTACATTATACGATATTTATATGTATGATGAAATTGTCCAATTTTATCGAAACTGGACAAAAGCGCAGACACTAACGCCGTCCCGGCAGTTGGCAGCAGTGATAGATTATTTACACTACTCGATTATCAGCCTCATTACTTTTTTAAACCAGATATCTTAGACATGAGTGTTTTGGTATTCTCTGTCAAAAACAAATTATCTAAATAGTTGTTGAACGCGAATCAGTTTCTGTAATCATTATCATAGTAAAATATAATTTTACGTAAGAAGAAGAAAAGAATGTTTTCTTCAGAAGTATAGAAATTCGTTCAGTGAGAAATACTTTTAATTCTACGAGAAGTAACTGTAATTTATATATATGCAATAAAAAGAAATTATAATTAGAAACAATGATATAACAGTTTAGTAACATTCTTTTATAAAAATTCAATAAGTCTTTCTCTACGTTTTGAAAAACTATGAAAAAATTTATTTTCTGTAAGTGTATTACGCGGATTTTTGCTAAAAAATTAATTTCGTTTTTTGATATCATAATTTAATAAAATGTATTATTTATTATTTTTTTATTTATGTTTATTATCAATAAAATGCAACCGGCGATAGGTGCAGAGTTTATTGTAATAAAATTTTATATTAGAGTGGTCTTTATTTTTAAACTTTCTATTTTATTGGTTAATGTCACTTAAATTGTAATATTTGGCGAGAAAATTTAATTTCATATCTATCCAAGATAATAAAAGTGTATATTGATAATATCGCACTATCTAAAACTATATTGTCTCGACATGAAGCAAATATTAATCCTGGATAGTGAAAAACTGCGTTACCTATAAAAATGAGATATGAAGATCGCCCTAATAGATATTACTCGGTTATTATGGGAATATGATGGAAATCTATTGAATTTTCATTTTAAAGACAAGTGATGAAGTTTTATGATTGAAAACACTATAACAAACTGAAGGTAGTTTGACCAATATTCTCTAAGAATTTCATAAAAAGAAATTGAGGAAATCATACGTGTAAAATTTTAGACCAATCAAGCAACAGAAACCCATTTTTATTAGTTTGGAAATTTTAATGATTTTACGGCAGTTTGGAAAATAATCGTGTTCCACTTTATTTAATTAGTTAGTGAATAATTTTGTCTAATGATGTCTCTGATTTCATTTAAGTTTAGTATTTTATTGTACCAAATACAATATATTTTTTTAGTATTCACGAAGTTTCCATGGCAGCCGTGGTATCTTCTGTATATTTACCTTTATCCTTACCCAAAGCAGCAAGTCTACCTTTACCTCGTCTGTCTATAATCTTTTTCCTATCCTTATCCATTTTTAACTTGACAATTACGGTCTAAAAAAACATATATTACATTTAGATTAAAAATACAAAGATAAATATAAGAAAAATAATTTATTTAAATAAATATCAATCAGTGCCAATAGATCTGCAGCAACCAGACCAAGAAAACAAATGAGCACATATTCAAAAGAACTTTGAAGATGTATTCAGAAGTGTAACTATTTGTCTGATTCTCAAAGAATGGTTTAGTTCATCATCTGTCATTGCGTGCTTTCATAAATCTATCTATATATATATACATAATATCATGAAAATTTGTCAAATTACCTTTGAAGGATCAATACCAACATATACATTTGCTGTATTAGCTTTCTCCCTTTGAATTCTTTCTATATATATAACGAACTTTTTCCTGTATACTTGCACGACTTTACCTACTTGTTGGCCTTTATAG